ATCAGGAAATGATCGTATAGGGCGTACACACCAGAGCGTTCCGGTTGTAGATCTATCCACCTCGGGACCTGCGGGTCCGTTTCCCCGTTTCTGTTACGGCCTTGTGTGGCCGAACGGGCTAAACGAAAGAGAAAAGTAGCGGATACAACCATTTGTGTTATCGTGTAAACAGCACATAAGGCGATACACAGGGTTGGCAGCATGTCCTTTATCCCCGCCCCTCAACGACGCCCACCACAATCACCGAAGTCCATACTACTCAAAAATTATAAACTAATTTCTTTGAGTCAAAAATAATATACACATTTAAGTTCCATTTGTTAACAGTTTATTTTAAAATGTTCATTACACAATGACCTTTTTATAACAAATGTTCTCAAATATGAAATAAAAGTAAATACAAACATTACATGAAAGGCATGAACCTGCTTCAACATTTTTAACATCTCTTTTAGGCATCAGGTTGAGTTGTATATTAGCCCCATAGGCACAGGCTCTTGTCGCATCCGAGATTTGAAGGACTTCTGTTCCTTCAATCACTATTCTTGCATCCGCACCCCTGGTCAAGACAATCTTCAGCACCTCATTGCTAACTTGCACTTCAACATCCTGGAATAAGTAGATTAGAAAATACATTTCAGTGTTTTTGGTGCACTCAGATTTGAAAACATTGCATTGTGTTTCAGGTTAACACAAGTTACAGTATGATTTAAGCATCTTCTTTACTTACTTAAGTTTTCCTTGAAGAGATCCTCCTTTTCACGAAGACACACCACCAAGCACCGGATAGCAACCTCTTTTATTCTTTCCACCGAATCATCCTTAAAAGGAGAACATTTTAATGTTGAGAAAGAATAACAAAGGCTTGTTTGCAAAAACTGAACATGCCGAGCATTCTCAGTTGCTGTTCATATTTATTTTTAATGAGTTTTTATCAAATGTAACGTTAATTCTAACAAGAAAAAATATATATACTGTATTACAAATAATGAACTTTGACTGCAACTGTGAAACAAAGGATACAGGAGGGACACATTGTCCAGCAGGGAGGACAGCTTGGCACTTGACATGCCATCTCAGCCACAGCTTGTCACAAAAAACATGACTGATAGTGTGTTTAACAAACTTAAACTAGCTTTATTAATTGTCAGGTCTTTGGCAGGAAAACAGTTTTTAATCAATGATTATATCAATGAGCACAATCTCAATTTTATGTTTTTAACGGAAACTTGGATTGAACAGAATAACAGTGCAGCTGTTCTTATCGAATCAACCCCTCCCAACTGTAGTTTTATGAGTCAGGAAAGAATGCATAAGAAAGGGGGTGGAGTTGCTATTCTGTTAAATGATTCCCTTCAATGCAGGAAGACATCTTATGGGAACTTTGCTTCTTTTGAATATGTGGCCCTTCAGCTGAAATGCTCCTCTCGAGCTCTGTTCCTAAATATCTATAGACCACCCAAATACTGTGCAAGCTTTTTTGATGACTTTACTGAACTGCTGTCTATAGTGTGTATTGACTTTGACCGTCTAGTCATTGTTGGTGATTTTAACATCCATGTTGACAACCCCCAGGACAGAGGGGCTAAAGAACTGTTTTGTGTTCTTGATAGCTATGGACTGACTCAGCATGTGACGGAGCCCACGCACAATAAGGGGCACACTCTGGACTTAATTATCTCAAAGGGTCTGAATATCTCTAAGGTTGTGGTGACTGATGTTGCACTCTCTGATCATTCCTGTGTTTTCTTTGAGAGCTCTATTTCTGTTCACAAAAATGTTCAAAAAGAGGTAACCACAAAGCGATATTTAACTGAAAACACTAGGGAAATGTTTACTCAGAATTATTTTTCCACACTTGCCGCTGCTAACATCGCAGTACGATGCTAGTAGATCATTTTAATAAATTATCAGTCATTATTGGGGTTAAAGTCCCCTACGTGTGCCATTTTGGTTTCAAGAACCTGGTTCACGGAGGATTCCAAAAAAGTCCTAGAAATACAAGGTAAACTTAACCATGTGCATTTAAAAATAAAAAAGAGGAATAGTTTCGGCGAAAACTATAAGGTACCATGGGGTCAGATTATAATTTTCCAATTTCTTGAAATAACTAAAGGACAAGTTAAACAAGAAAGAGGAAAGAAAGGGAGGTGATAGAAGTTAGCAATGATTGAGAGTCAGACCTAAACATTTCAGATGTGTGTATCTCACTCTGCACTGTTACTTTTATTGATGTATCTTTGCTTTTAAACAAGTGTTTTTAGATATCATTTTATAATATGTTTCTTAATGCTATTAATGTCTTTCATTTTTGTAAAGCACTTTGAATTGCCTTGTGTTGAAATGTGCGATATAAATCAACTTGCCTTGCCTTGTTTTAAGCATCCAGTGAATCAGTTCTCTAGGAAAATGTTTATCTTTTATTGCCAGTAGAGACACGATACCAGGAGCCCCTAGAAGCAGTGGATTGCAACATGATGTTCCTCAAACAATTAGCTGCTTCCTTATGCTCTGCTGAACGCGTCTTCAATTTGTTGCTTAGCAGAAGTCGCCAGAGAAAAGAAAATTCACTTTACAACATGTTGACTTACCTGTGGCATACCCAACTCTGTGTCCATGAGACATGAGGTACATGTGACATCCTACAAAAACTACAAATCTGAATTCTGAAGTCATTTCTTTCTTTCTTTTTAGTTTTGTGGTTTCATTTCTTTCAATGTGCTAGAAAATTATTAAAGGTCCCATGTCATGGCCATTTCTACTGATCATAATTCCATTGTTGAGGTCTACTAGAATATATTTATATTGCGCAATTTTCCAAACTCACTTTGGTTTCTCATACAGCATCTCTGTAGTATGTGTATTCACTCTCTGTCCTAAACGGCTTGTTGGAGCTCCTGCCCCCCCGCCCCCTCCCCTCCCTGTGAGCCCACTGTGCTCTGATGTGTGTGTATGTGTTACAACGGCGTTTGTTAGCAACCAGAAAATTACACCAGTAATGACAACAGATGAGAATGCTGCGTGGGGTCTGGGTGCAGTGTTCAATCTTTTCTCAGCTGCAGCTCTGTGGATTTCTCAGCCTGAGGCCGCGGGACGCGGCGAGGCTGCGTGTGTGTGCTCAGGCTTAGAGTTACGCGGTGTCTTGCTGTCTCGCTAACTCCACACCAGTAAGCCAGCTCACACTGTCCGCTCCTCGCAGCAGTGACGTCCCGCCAAGTGTGTGTGTGAGGAAGCAACGGCTCCGCGGACGTAACGTAACGGCTCCGCGGATTGGTCCATATGGACCAATTCGTCCATGGGGTCGTTGTTGGTTCCCGGAAGAGAAAAATGAAAAAGAAAAATCTCCAACGAGGCGTTCTGGGGCAGCATAGACAGGTATTTTCTGTGTTAGAGTTTTACTCGCTACAGGGTGTACTTTGAGGGGTTTTGACTCTGCAGACCGTTTACATGCATAAAAACCTTCATAACACACAAGGGGACGGGTAATAACCGGAAAAGCATGACATGGGACCTTTAAGACAAAATGCCTATTTGGATTCAATTAAATATTACAGGATGGATGTTGCAACAGAGAAGACAACACCTCACAGTCGGAGTTAACTTGCTGCAGGAATACTATATTTTAGTTTTAAATGAATACAGATAGAACTGCCCAAAAGTAGAGTTGTATCACCATACATTAGGTTAGCAGTGGCGTACGACTCCCACATGAGGCTACGTGACTCATTATGTTATAAAGTGACACAACAGTTAAAATACACCAAAGAATAATGTTATGTGTAATGTACTGAGCCCAAACTGAATCCGAAAGCCTGGTTTTCATATTACTGAATGCAGTGGTGGATTTGAACAAAGTACATTTACTCATCTTTAAGTAGCCCTACAATGTTTTACTAGATTTTGGTTTTGCTGTTGTAATCCACAACAATGAGAGAAAAGGTAAAAGACTGGTGTAAGACTCTGTGATATAAATAGGTTTTTTATGATACTCTTACAGTTACAAAAAAAAGTGACAACATTACTTTATACAGACCTCCAAAGGTTTATATTTAAATGAAATAGCAGTGATTGGTTATCTTGTGTACCGCTTAGTATTAAAAACAATTGTAATATCCAATTAAGAATATTTCAAGTTAAATATATTATTAACTCGTATTTGAATTCAATCCTGAATGAGATTGTGTTTGATTTATTTATAAAAATGTAAGCACATTTTGGCGTGAATGCCTCCATCTGCACACACATAAAGTCATTTATGGAATTCCTGTTATTGTTTGACATGCCAGAAAAGCCATCAAACAAATCAAACTGATCCTCTCTTTTCAGAAATGACACGTATGTATGAAATGTAACATAATGTGTCAAAAATGTTGAGCCGCAACAAGTTCACAGTGAGTGGATTTATCCTCACGGGTAGTGTGTGGACGAGTACGGATCAAAACACAGTCACACTGCAGCATTCAGAGGAAAGGTAAGGATGTCTTTCTTATGGGAATACAACCTATACTATACTGGATATTATCTATGTTAGTTAAAAAAAACATGGTACTTGTTTTAAATTATATTTATATCTTTCACATAATTGACTTTGCATGTGGATGAAAGTATTCCTGTGTAAAAGCAATCTTACAGCAAACACACATAATAAATAAATGCAGTGTTCAACCTGTGTGTCTCTCGCACCCGTTTTACACATTCAAACTATTGCAGCATTTATTTATTAGACTCAAGATTCCTGCAATGAGACAAATATTTCAAATTAATAAAGGAGAGTTAGTTGGTGTCTAAAAATGTTTAAAGGGAGCATTTGCTTTGGAAATATGCCTTTCACTTTATTTTCTAGAGAAAATGTATTGAGTATGTGTTATTGTTGGAATAGTTTTCTTTATGTGTAATCCACAACTGGTATTTTCCTACCACTGCCTCTCATGTATGCTTAAGTCTTGTTTTTCCTTTTTTTTAACCCTTCAGCAAACAATGAAATGTCTTTCTTTAGCAGGATGTCAGGTGCAAAGATCCTGCTGTTTCTGAAGAGCCTGTCCCGTAGGAAACCTCTGGAGCCTGAAGGAGAGGTGTCCAACTTCCGCCGATGCCTGACCACTCTGGACCTGGTGGCCCTGGGGGTCGGCAGCACGCTGGGGGCCGGTGTGTACGTGCTGTCGGGAGAAGTGGCCAGAGCTGTGGCCGGCCCGAGTATCATCATTGCCTTCCTGATAGCAGCCGTGGCCTCCGTCTTTGCAGGACTTTGCTATGCTGAATTTGGAGCACGTGTTCCCAAAACTGGCTCTGCCTACCTCTACAGCTACGTGACTGTGGGCGAGATATGGGCTTTCATCACCGGCTGGAACTTGTTGCTGTCCTATGTCATAGGTAGGGATATTGCTATATATATTTACTGTGTGAGAAAGGTTTAATAGTCATCTTGGAAAAGTCACTTCTATCCTCTTAACAGTGACATACAAGCCTCAAGTCTAAAATAAAAAGATAGGTTGGATAATATGTTTGTTTTTATAACACAGGTTGCCCTATTTAGCCATTTATTTTGTCATTCAACCCATGCTTTATATCCTGCATTTAAAAATCTATTTATTTACTGCTTTTAAGGGACGTCAAGTGTTGCCAGAGCATGGAGTGGGACCTTTGATGATCTCATTGGAAATGTAATCTCCAACTCTCTGGGCAAACAGGCTGCCATGAATTTACCTGGATTGGCTCCCTACCCAGACTTCTTTGCAGCTGCCCTCATAATGCTATTGGCAGGCAAGTTTCATAATATAAACCCCTGTGACCCTTTGGCACGTGTACGCATTTATTATTATGAATTATGTGTGGAAAGTGAAGGAAAAAACCGTAGATAATCAAGTTTTATGATATATTTTAATGACATTTTCATATCTTTATACAAACAAGGTTCCATGTTTCATGACCAACTTTATATTTTATGTGTTTCCCTCAGGGATTCTTGCATTTGGCGCCAAAGAGTCAGCTGTTGTAAATAAGGTTTTTACAGCAGTGAACGTCCTGGTGTTGCTGTTTGTTATCCTCGCTGGAGTCATTAAGGGGGACATCAACAACTGGCAACTTGGTGAAGAATCTCTGCTAAATCCATATCAGTACGGGTTCTTATTATTTTTAATTCAACCTAGTAAAACGTTTCCACATCATACAACACCAACTCAACTTCTGATGTTGTTATCTGCTGTATTTAAAGGGTCCCAATTATGCTTTTTGGGTTTTTCCTTTTACTGGAGTGTGTTATTTATTTCTGTAACATATTGACATCACTTTGTAACACTTGCACTTCTATTGGCTAGCACTCAAACACATTATATTTGATAGGCTAAGTGGCGGACCACATTTAAGCGGTTGACCAATCACAACAGAGCCGGCAAGCTAACCAATCAAGCAGACTGGGCTCTGGTTTCAGACAGAGGGTGAAAAGAGGTGCTGCAGCACGGGCAGTATGAGAAAAATAAAGAGCTTTTTGAACATTAAAGCATGGAAATATCTCACAGTAGAGGCACAAAATACAAATATGAACCTACAAATTATCATAATAGGGCCCCTTTAATACAATTATTGTTAAGTAACCGTATTTTTAAGACTGCTAATGTTGGCTTTTCTTTTTAAATGTTGGTTACAAATATTAAGTTATTATTTGGTTGGCAGATTATTGTTGCATGACCAAGCATCAACCTGTCTATTCTTTACAGAAATTTTACATCGATGAACGACACCGCCATATTTGGCACTGGAGGATTTTTCCCTTTTGGCTTTGAGGGGACATTAGCAGGCGCAGCCACATGCTTTTATGCATTTGTTGGATTTGACTGCATTGCCACAACAGGTAAATTATTTCACTCATGTGCGGTACACACATAGAGAAGAAGAGGGGATGCATGCCATAGCACGATATAGAACATAATAAGTTACTATACGTTATAATAATAACAACGTTATTACAATAATGCACATTTTATGGACAATCTAGCACTAATATTTATTTTTGCACATTCGATGGACAATCTGCACTAATGTACATTCTTAAAATATTGAAGTGACTGTTATTTTGTATATATTGATTATTGTGTTTTTATTTAGGTCTTAATGTGTGCACATGTAAAAATGGTGTCTTTGACTGTATATATACATATTTGCACACATATTTTTATATTTTATATACATTTGTTTTTATATTCGGGATTGTGGGAAACAGTATTTCGATCTCTCTGTCTGTACATACAAACTGGAAGATTGACAATAAAGTTGACTTTGTTATGATAATAATGTGGGGGGGTTTTTCAGGGGAGGAGGTTCAAAACCCCCAGAAGTCGATCCCACTCGGCATTGTGGCGTCACTCCTCATCTGCTTCCTAGCTTACTTTGGTGTGTCTGCGGCCCTGACTCTCATGATGCCGTACTATTTGCTCAGTGTTAACAGCCCCTTGCCGGTGGCCTTCACATACATCGGTTGGGGCCCTGCAAAGTATGTAGTGTCTGTGGGATCCCTCTGTGCACTGTCAACAAGGTATGAAACACAGTGTGCCTTTAACAAACTGCCACATGTATCAATTACATCATGTTATCCTTTGCTAATACAGTGCATCCTGTAGATCAGGGGTGTCAAACTCAAGGCCCGGGGGCCAAATCCGGCCCGCGACTAAATTTGATGTGGCCCGCAAGAGCTTGCAAAGAATATAATACGTTTATTATACTGTTACATGCCATTTTACAGAAGCAGGTTGCCCATAAACTATGTCCCACAATGCATCTCGTTTTGTGACATGCGCACTGAAGAAACTTGCAATTAATTGCCCTTGACTTCTTCTTTCAGACGTAGTTAATTACTAAGTTATTATCCTATCCGATAATAATCCAAGTCAGAGGCAATAATGTCATATAATACATTATTTTATATATATTATATATTTATATAAGTATATTTATATAGTTACCACCGACCCTTTGAGTGCAACCATGCTAATGTGGCCCGCAATGAAATTGAGTTTGACACCCCTGCTGTAGACGAAGATCATTTGAATCAGAGTTACAGTACATATTCAACAGGAACAGAGTCATTTATATACATGACTTCTTTGTTCTTTTCCCCTCAGCCTACTAGGATCAATGTTCCCGATGCCCCGCGTTCTCTTTGCCATGGCCAGAGATGGACTTCTCTTTAGCCCTCTCAGTAAAATGAGTGAAAGACAAAGTCCTGTTATAGCGACACTGGTTTCAGGTGCTGTAGCAGGTAAAGTTTGTCAGATTCATTTGAATGCTTTTTCTCAGTAATTTTCTGAAAGTTGTAGTTTAAATATTATTCAATGAAAGTATTTTTCTTATTATTGTTCATGTCTTTCAGCGGTCATGGCGTTGTTGTTTGACCTGAAGGCGCTGGTCGACATGATGTCCATTGGAACCCTCTTTGCCTACACTCTTGTTGCCATATGCATCCTAATATTAAGGTTTGATCATTTCTTTTTTGAATATTTTTGGGCTCAGATTAGCCTTTGTTGGACAGTGAAAGTGTTGAAAGTGGGAGATAGAGGGGATGACACAGTGGGGACTGAGCCAAAGTACATGAGCCACCAGCTCTAACCACCCATACCCATATGAGCCATACAGAAGCACTTCATTTAAAGTAATAATGAAAATATGTGTGGTATTATTACTCAATTGTTAACTACTACTATGATTGTTTGTGAAAAGAGCTCATGTTTATGTTGCTATGAGCTAGAATCCGTGAAGTTTTTGCATTTCTTTCTTCCATTTAACCTCCTGATAATGACAACATATTAAATTACATTACATGTTACTTGTTAGACGCTTTTATCCAAAGCGACTTACATACTCAATACTGTGGACAGTCCCCACAGGAGCAATTTGGGGTGAAGTGTCCCAGGGACACAACGACATGCTGACTGCAGTGGGGTTTGAACCTGACCCCCTGATCCGAACACCAACGCACAACCCTATCATTAAATAAGATGACATGTGTGTCTTGGAAACATTAATAGTACATAACTTTATAATAGACAGGGATTTGAATACATTGGTTGACCAGAGGAAAAAAGGACAACAAGATCCACCAAACCTCCCTGTTTAAGTCAAACATATCACGATATAGAAAATATTGTTTCCTCAAGGCTTGGTTGCATAGTTATATTATCTTTACTTTAACAGGTACCAAGAACACCTCAGCGAGGAAAGCAAACCAGAACCCTTTTCAGTTACTGGAATATTATATCCTCCTTCACAAGCCACTTCACGGACATCAAAAAATGTGACTGTCTTAACTGTTTTTATGAGTAAGTGGTCTTTCTAACACAATCCTCTATACAGCATATACATGATTTTCATTGTTAGTAATCACTGGACTTGCCTTGTTCTCCTCAGTCTTTTTAGCTATCATCCTAAGCCTCGTCATAAATAGCGCTGTGGACTCCCTGCAGGCCCTGGAGTGGTGGAGTTTACTTTGTGTCTTTATCATCGTACTGCTATTCGTCTTCATCACACTGATCATCTGGAGGCAACCACAGAACGCCAGCAAAGCTGCTTTCATGGTATACTACATCTAACCTAAGTGCACAGAGCCTTCCATAAAACGTTGTAGAATAATATGTCATACTTGACATAAAAATATCAATGGCTAGTATAGTATGTATCCTAAACCAAACATTGTATATCAAAAAACTTTATGGAAAAAATGTAATTAATTTAGAACATAGCAGCCTTTCAAATTGATGACATATCTCTAAAATAATAATATGGTATCTGATAAACATTTCTCATATTATAGCCCGTTAAATACTATCAATCCATAACCATTACAACAACATTTAACTGTTTGTGATCCTCCGTCCAGCAACACCTGTCACCTGAGTTAAACATGTACAGTATATAACAATTTACACCAAGTACAACAGTGACACCTATTGGACCAATTTGGTACATGCATTTTAATAACTAATCAGAATCAATTTTATTACCAAGTAGGTTTGCACATACGAGGAATAAATAGTATACTTATAAAAGCTATTTAAATCAAATTAATTTAAGACTATTGCAACAAATGAAAAATAAAGGCAATATTTACACAAAATCTAGTTATGTAGGAAAGGAAAGGAGTGCAGTTAAATATAATAAAATATAACAATATTATATTATAAGTGGAGAGTTATGCGGATTTAAAAAAGAGGTAGCGTGGAGCGGAAATGTGCAATATGTCGTGCCGGATTTACAATATTAAAAAGAACAAGATATTATATTCTTTCCATCTGTATACTTTTTAGCAGGAAAATTGAATACCTTTTCATTGTTATGAGATCATTTTCTAATTTTTTTTCCCTCTCATGTTTACAGGTTCCTTTTGTTCCGCTGCTTCCTATTTTCAGCACCTTTGTCAATGTCTATCTTATGGTTCAACTGGGCTCAGACACGTGGATCCGCTATGCAGTGTGGATGGCAATAGGTATGTGAAGAATATAAACTTTAAATTACACATTTTATTGAAAGAAAAACTGCAAAAAACGAAAATGTAACCCATCTGAGATGTAACGTTTTTTCCTACAGGTTTAATCATCTACTTCTGTTATGGTGTTCAGCACAGTGTGCAGAAACAAAGGCTCCAAAACTCGCAGAACCATGTCAGTATTCACAGCATCACCACCACTATGGACCAACACTTTGAACCGGGACACGACTTTAATGATTAAACAATACAACATCTTTTGATTCACTGATATAAGCACAACTGGGAGCATCATCGAGCAAACTAAACACTTTCCTTTGAATAAAAAAAGTGGCCACTGTGTATACATGTCCTTATAGTGTTTCCTGCATTTCGTGACTTGGTCATAACTCACAATTACCTCACATTTTGAAATAGTAAATCTTTTTACAATTCTGTTTCAAATGGGTGTTGAGAGATGTATCCATAGATCTCTTCATTTTGCTCTCAAAGTGCACCAGATTGATGCTTTTAACTTCAATATTTAAAAATCTTCCCGGGGGAGCTTGCCCCCAGACCCCCCTATGTGAGGTCCACACACCACCTATAAAAATAGCACTTTACCCCTGCTTACACCTAAATGCCGTGAGCTGATTATCGAGCCTTCAGCATGGGGGTTGTTGCAGTAGAAAATTCCACTGTAGCGCCCGGTACATTCATGGGAAACCCTAAATGTTCGAGCACCCTCTATGAAACGTCAAGCTACCCCACAGCACCCCCAAAATAAATTCTTGGCGCCGCCACTGATCCTGACTATTTGTGTTGGGGGGGGGGCCCGACTTTTTTTTTTCTCCAAAGGGGGGGCCTGACAGAAAAAGTTTGAGAACCACTGGTCTACAGCATCCTCTTTGTCTTCACTGTAAAATGTGCCATTAGGTCCTGTGGGGATTGTCCACAGTACTGAATGTATGTAAGTCGCTTTGGATAAAAGCGTCTAACAAGTGACATGTAATGTAAATGTAATGTGACTCCTGCTGCGGCCCCGTTTGGTGGACTCCCATCACCTGAGGATGGTCTCTTCTGAGCATTCAACGGGCTCCTTTATGTCACTGTCGGTGCTGTGTGCACCTGATTAGAACAGTCAATTTAGATACATGTCAAAAATACATTAGGATTCAAGTCAAAAATATTACAGTGAAATATTACAAAATATTACAAACGGCAAATAGCAGAAATGCATTCTTACCAGGATGAGAGAGGATGCTATCTGCCTGAAACTGTCTCCTGCTCAGGATCTCCTGCTTTGACATCTTTAAACCCTGTAAGGCCCACTGTTGTAATTTTACAACATTACTTTAAGCTATCCTAAAAAAGTCAGTAAATGTTTTTGTTTTTTTAAGGACTACATTTATATAGTCAATAGGACCTTTTGTTCAGCCTCACAATACTATTGGGTAGTAAATGTGTTGGTCCTGCCCTCTGGCCATACACTCACAAAATCTCAGAATCTTCAAACGAGCAACATCTCTTTGATTATTACAATGTCTAGAACATGTACATATTTAGTTATTGTGGAATACTTTCATCACATTTGATTTTGAGCAGCTGTCAAGATGTCTTTGTTGTAATATTACAACTACAGTGTGGTAGTCAAAATAGCATGAGTACCCTTCTTATATGTTCATGCATGTGGAAATAAAACACAAATAGAAATATAATGTCTTTGATAATTCACTATAACTATGTTCTAAATGTGTCCTCTGTTAAGATTTTGAATTAAGACCAGAATTGAATAAATTAATACATTATTTCTCATAAAAGTATGTGAAATTATATCTCTAGCAATATTTTAAACTCTACTTGTAACTTATCAGTTAATTAGTTACAATTCATTGAACTCTTCTCTGGTTCTGGCAGAAACAGTTATTTCTGAAATGTGTTGGGACACTTGAATGTATCCCTTTTAGTATGATAATTAGCCTGTTAGCATTAGCCAGACAGCATTGTGTGACTTGTTGAACTGGTTTACCTGCATGTGTCAGTGTAGGTATTCCTGTTATTATGATAATAGGCAGGATTGTGCATGGGCGCGGGAAGGGGGGTGCTCAGGGCGCTGCAACACCCCCTAGCGGCAGGCAGGCGGTGCGGAGCTCCCCTGTCTGAATGATTATTTGACGGTTATTGCTGCTCCCGCTGTGCTTAATCTGTGTAATATGTAGCCAATAAATTCCACATTGTCGGTAAAAAAATATTTTGGCCTGCCCCGAATGTTTTTCTGTAGCCCCGGACAATTCTACCTCAATAATCAACACACTCTCACTCCATAATCGTCCAGGAGCGACGTTTGGTCAGTATCCGTGGCGTGCAGTTGTGACGCTCCTAGGCTCCTTCAGCGTCATAAAGGGACGCAAATAGCTTTCAACTGATTGCAATGTATTCCCATCTGCGGCGGGATTTGACGCTCATGGAAGCACGGCATTCGTTTGTGTCGGCTGCCCTTATGTGAGCGTCCATTCCCATTGGATAACGGAGAATTGTACACCCGGAAGTAAGTATTCCCCTTACTGTCGATTGATTTTACAGTGATATCTGCACTACTCATCGACTAAAAAACACCCGATTATCCTTGTTAATTACACAACATTGATTGGTTTAAATTGTGTGCAATGCTTTTGTATTTTTCCCGGGTTACCCGGATTGGTTCACGTCAGTCGACCTGAAAGACGCATATTTCCACATCCCAGTATATTATCCACACAGGAAATATCTGAGGTTCGCCTTTCAGGGTGTCTGTTACGAGTACAGAGTACTTCCCTTCGGTCTGTCTCTCAGCCCACGAGTGTTTGTACGGTGTACGGAAGCCGCGATAGCCCCGTTAAGACAACAGGGTATTCGCCTGGCAACTTATCTGGACATTGGCTACTTCTCGCAGTCGGAGAAGAGGCTATTACGCAGACGAATGTCCTCGTAAAACACCTGCTCGACCTGGGTTTCGTAATAAACACAGAAAAGAGCATGTTGTCCCCAGCCCAGACTGTACTCTTCCTGGGCCTACGCCTGAATTCGGTGCCCTTTACAGCCCGCCTGTCAGCAGAGAGAGTGAAAGCCTTCAGGGCTTTCCTCGCTCATTTCCAGCCACGCAAATATGATCTTTTCAGATCATGTCTGCGGTTACTGGGGCTCATGGCGTCAGCCATCCTGGTGGTACGACTGGGACGCTTACACATGAGGGAGTTTCAGCGCTGGGTAGCTGCCCTCAGACTGGACCCCGTGCGTCATGGCGCGCGGAGAGTGATGGTCACTATGAAATGCATAATGGCACTGCGCCACTGGCTGCAGCCGACTTGTCTAGTACGGGGCGTGCCTATGGGTGCTGTCCTATCGCGGAAGGTGGTCACCACAGACGCATGTCTGACGGGCTGCACTGTAAAAATTGGCTGTAGATTTTACGGTGTAAAACTGTCAAACCACGACAGTAAAAGACCGTAAACTCAAAATTGGTTGAATACAGTTTATGTAACAGTAGAAGACCGTAAATATATATATCAGCCAAAACAATAATTTTTACCTATTTTTTCTGAAAAAAATACATTTCTCCACTGTTAAATACTCTTGCACTGTGTTTATAACAAACATATACCGTACAATATATAACAGCCAACACTGTAATTTTTGCAATTTTGTTATGTAAAAAAAACATGTTGTCACTGTTAAATATACTAGTCATTGTGTTGATAACAAAAATATACCGTAAAATAAAAAGGGACACCTAGTGGTTAAAGCACGTTATTGAAATGTTTTGTTGAATAATCTTTAATCTTTAATAACCTGACTTTGGAAAGGGCTGGAGAAATAATTTTCACCAGGGGCCAATAAAATAGGGCCCAGATCAGGTATCTGAAATATGGGAACCGTAACCCACCCAGAACTTTTTTTTTCAATCTAATTTCAAACTCTCTCACAAAATCCTGTCTAGAGTTAAGGATTGGACACCCTTTGGTGAGGGAGGGAGAGAAAATTGAAAAAAATTGAAAAAAGATGCTTGGCGCTCGGAAACTTTGCGAGTGTGTTGCTTAACTTGTGTGGAACCCGCTTGCAAAATTTGGGGCCGCTGTGACCTTCAACCAGGTCGCAAACTAAGGTTAAAGGTCATGTTTTCATGGCTCTCAGTACTCTAGACGGCACAAAGGAAGGTCCGACAGCTTTGAGCTTGGTGTCGTTGGAATCGTCTCGAAGAGTACATGCAAATTCATCCCTCTGCTGCTCCGAATGTCAAACGTTACGGCTTAAAACGGAACAAAGCATTTCGTTAAGCCGCTTTCACTCTCACTCTTGTGGTGACAGAGCACACCCATTTCCCCGCATGCTAGGCAGTCAAGAGTATTCTAGTTAGCTTCGGCTTGATGTAGAGATGTGATTTGATGTGTCGTTTGTCCCCCAACTCCTCTCCAAAGTTGAGATATTTACTAAAATGCTCAGGGGAGTTTCCTGAATTTTCATGCCGAAGCCAAGCACTAGGCCCTGGGTAAATTAAGATGCCGATTTGGGGCACTTTTTCCACTTTCCCTTGTGCTAGAAACTCAAGTCAGGCATCCCTGGAATCGTCTCAAAAATACATTTCTAGCTAAACGTAATTGAGAATGCAGTTTAGTTCTGTGGGAACATAATTTTTAGGAGACAGGGTTGCCAGGACACACGCCGGTTAGAATAGTCTATTCTGCACATGTGCAATGGTGCACAATTCAAATGTTACAGTAATGCGTTGTGCTCTTTATATATAGGCCTACAGTCTATGGTTGTGCTAGATGATTTTGAGTACAGTGCTTTACTGTGAAATAATAGTTAAATAATGTGAAATCCAATTTGAATGTTTTATAGATATTTTGTTGTGACAGGGGCTTTTCATTACAATATTTCTCTGTAATGTGATAGGAATCTTAAATGCTGTGAAATCCTTGCAATTTTTACAATGTTGTTGTGATATTACAACATTTGATGTGATATTAGAGGATTTTGATTGCAGTATTTTATTGTGAAATAATAGTTAAATGCTGTGAAATTCAAGGATACAGTCATTTTTACATGTATTTGTTGGGATAATACAGGGGGTCTTGATTACAATATGTCACTGTACAATAATACTGTTAAATGTTGTGAAATGCTGGTAATTGTTTACAGTGCAGTTAGATCAGGTTGACCAACTTCTTAAGAAAATAGCACAATGATTTTAAATGCATTTCAAATTTGAGTAGGCCTCATAGACTGTATATAGGTTTTGAACAGAAAGGGCGCCTGATTTCAAACCATAACGTCTGAACTCTGTGATGCGCCGTCCAATCAGCGCATTGCATTTTGGATAACATGTCCCAGGAGTTTTTTTTTTGTAACCACTCCAGTCCACTCCATCTGAATTTTCTGGACTTTGTCTTAACGTCTCAGCCTGTCTTCAGTTACCACGGTGAAATCAATCTTAGCAAGGTAAAAACAAATTAATTTTCGTATGATTATTTCGATTATGAATGAGTTTACGCAGCTTTGGTCGCACACCAAAGTATAGTTAATGTTTAGCGAGGCTAATACTGTTCAGAGGTCTTTGGGAGAAGGGGTAAATGGTTAGCATTTTTTTCTTTGTAACAAGATTGTCCGAGTGTAGTGACTCTTGCAAAAGTGCTTTGAAAAAAGTGGTGCACCTTCCCAGGCATGCCTGGACACATATCAGGCTAAAATACCATTGCCCGTGACATTTGAGGTGGTGGGGTGGACAGGGCCCGGCGCAGCGCTTGAATTCAAACATTAACGGTTGCCTCTCTGGTGTGTCGCAGACAGCAGGAGCTTTGTCTGATTATTCTGGACTTGTCTGAACGTTGCAGCTTGTCTTCAGTTAACACGGTAAGGTGAAGTCAGTTTTTGCCCGTCACATTTGAGTGTAGGTTGTGGAAAGAAAGGGCGCTTGAATTTAAACATTAACGTGATGTGCCGCTCCCGTGTCGCAGCTAGGCTAGGCTAAGTGCAGTGCTAGGCTAATAATGTTCAGACCTCTTTCTGAGACATGGTAAATTGATAGCATTTTGGTAACGAGATTTTCTGTGTTTTGTGGCTCTTGTAAACAAAAACGTGGTGCACGATCCTAGGCATGCCTGGACATATTTCAGGCTAAGATGGCAACTTTATTATGGTGGATATATGCCTGTTTGACCATGTATTCCTGTTGCATTTGTGGAGAATCTGTTCAGTCTCTTAAGGCGTATGTTGTACATTGCAAATTCCACCGCAATGAACCTCGTTGTATTTTCAAGTGTGTTGGAATTGATTGTAAGCAGGTGTTTTCTGGATATGCATCATTAAAGTCTCACTTCTATCGCCACCATAATGGCACATCGTCGGTTGCTCAGGATATGGCTTTGACGCCGTTCAAATGTGCAGTTTCACTTTGTGAACGCCAGTGTGACGGAGTCAAAGAGCTGGTTGCACACCTGAAGGAGCACATAGCAGAGGGGCGTCTTGTGAAGTGTCCTGTGAGAGGATGTAAAAGTGTGTTTACTGTAAAATCTTCATTTACTTCCCATTTGTCCAGAAAACACAGACATTGTTCTGTAAATATGATTTGCGGCTCTTTCGAAAATGCATGTCCTTCTACAAGTGAGCAGAGTGCCACTGCCATACAGGAAACTGCCAGTATGTCAGATGATGGAGACACTGTTGGGGACATGTGTAATTTCAGTGACTTGTACCACAGAAATGTGTGTATGTTTTACATAAAATTGCAGGGACAACATCTTATTCCAGCATCTACTATTCAGAACATTGTTGAAGAGATTCAGAATATACATGAGTTGGGACAGACATATACTCTGAATAGATTAAACTTGCTTCTGAAAGATTTGCCAGTATCGGATGTGGACATTGTAAAAATCTGTGATACAGTGAAGGAATCTGACTTGTTCTCAGCTTGCCACACAGGGCCTATGAGAACAGCCTACTCTAGAGCCAAGTGCTTTAGAGAAGTGTTTAAATATGTTGAGCCCAAAAGGGTGTTTTTAGGCAGAGATGAGAACAGAATAGAAAGATGTGCATATTATGTTCCTGTGTTAAACACTTTGAAGAATATGCTAGGGTCAGATTTTTGGCAGGGACTCATGTCGGGAGATTCTAATGATGTCTCCATACCAGATGTTCTCTGTGACAGCTGTGATGGTAAGGTGTTTAAATCCAACACCTTTTTTCAGGAAAACCCAACTTGTCTTAAGCTGGTCTTATACCAGGATGCATTTGAGGTGGTGAACCCTTTGGGTTCTGCAAAAAAAAAGCACAAAATATTGGCTGTGTACTTCTCACCACTAAATTTCCCCCCTCATGTTCGATCAAGTGTTGATCACATGCAGCTGGTTTTGCTGTGTAGAGAGAAGGACTTTAAAGAATTTGGCCATGCCAAGGTTTTTAAAGAGTTGCTGGCTGACTTGAAAATACTGGAGGAGAATGGGATAACAATGGCAGATGAAACTGTCGTTAAAGGGACTCTTTACTGCATTGCTGGAGACAACCTGGGCTCGCATTGCATTGGTGGATTTACTGAAAATTTCAGTTTCTCACAATATTTCTGCAGATACTGTCTAATTTCTCGAACTGAATTTCGCGGTGATGACCCAAATTCATGTGGACCAGAGCGCACCACTGAGAATTACAGGGCTGCAGTTGATCGTTTGGAGACTGAGGATGTGACAGATGTTCAAGGAATAAAGTTCCGGTCAGTGTTTAACTCTTTGAACCACTTTGATGTTTGTCTGCCTGGTTTGCCCCCATGTCTTGGCCATGACATCTTTGAGGGTGTCCTCTCTTATGATGTTGGACTTTATCTGAGATATTTTGTTAAGAAAAAGAGATGGTTCACATACTCTATTTTGAACAGGCGCATTAAGCAGTTCAAATATAGAACCACAGATGCTTCCTCCAAGCCATGTGAGGTCAGTCCTAAAACACTAAGACTTTCTGGTCATGCTGTACAGAACTGGAATTTTTTAAGACTGTTGCCTCTAATAATTGGAGACAGAGTGCAAGAGCCACAGGATGATGTTTGGCAATTAACTCTACAACTGAAAGACATAGTTGACTTGATTTGTGCTCAGAAAATGTCCAGGCCTCAGGTCACTTACCTGGATGCTCTCATTCAGGAATATTTAGAATCCAGGAAGGCACTGTTTCCAGATACAAATTTGAAACCAAAACATCATTATTTACGGCACTATCCAGGATTGATTCTAAAATTTGGCCCACTGATGCGATTATGGACTATGCGCTTTGAGAGCAAACATAGTTACTTTAAAAGGTGTGCAAGGCATTTGAAGAACTTTAAAAATCTGTGTCTCACTCTTTCAGAAAGACATCAGATGTTTCAGGCCTATCTTTCAGCTAGGTCAGTAAGTTCTCCAGCCTTGCAAATAAAAGACTGCTCGCCATTTTATTCCGAGCTTTACAGTGAACAAGTTCAAGATGCAGTCTTACAATTTTGCTTCACTGAAATAAATGCAAAGATTCCTGTAGATGTGCAATATAACGGAATAACTTACAAGAAGGGCCAATTTCTTGTCACTAGGAATGATGACTTAGTGGAGTTTGGTGAACTCATCCTCATTGTAGTGAAAGATGGTTCTGCACTTCATTTTCTGATGAGTTTATTCAGCAGAATTTCTTCCACACTACCACATGTACTCAGTGAAAAACGAAAGTGGAAGATTGCAATGCCTACACATTAATGAACTGATCGACATGTGGCCATTATCATCTTACATGAAAAATGGATACCAGATAGTCCCATTGAAGCACTCTGTAATGTCAGAGTAGATGCTTAGATGTCAGATGTTACATGTTTTCCAGAATGTTCTTATTTTTTGTTTTTATGTATCTGATAGATATGGCTGAGACACAGAAGATAAGCAGTGCCATTACTGCAGTTTTTCCAGATCTTCCTATAGCAGTTCTCAGTTCAGTAGTAGATACTTTGGAGGCACTCGGTGCAGGGACCACAGATGATCTGCAGTACGTTACAGAAGCAGACCTGCTGCTGGTGTTGAAGCCAATCCAAGCCAGAAGACTTGTTGCTGCCTGGGCCCAGAACAGTAAGTGTATTGAAATGAATACAGTTTCCTCTCCGGTGTCCGTCTGTTCCACTCCGTCCTTTAACTCACCAGCATCATCCACAAGCATCTCGTCACCGGGAGCCTGTTCCGCTTTTGTGCCAAACTGGGTAGACAATTTTAAAATACCATGGCAGAGGCTCCCTGAAGAGTTACTGCAGAGTTTGGAAAGGCAGAGAAGACCGAGTTCGCGACTACGCCGAGAGATGGTAAGGATTGTGGTCAAGGAGATTATGAAGGTGTCTAATAATCCAGCCAAACGCGACACTACAGAGATAGGCAAAAGAATGGTGGCCAAGTATCCAAAATCCTTACAGGATGTCATCGAGGGTGATGTTGTTGGACCTGGATACCATTCACTGGTAAAGCAACTCCAAGCGCGAATTGAAAATGTTAAACGACCCAACACACTAAAAATAATGAAACGCAAGGCCACATCAGATGATGATGACACAGAGGAAGTTCCAGCAAAAAAAAGAGCCGGTGTTCAAGACACATATGGCTGCGTCAACTGGGAGCCAAAACATTTGCCACTCTCCGAGACTGTGGAGAGTCAGCAAGAAAAAAAAGAAAAGATGAAGAATATGTTTGAAGAGATAAACTACAATACAGATGATGTGAGAACATTAGTACAGTCCACCTATTACACGCAGCGTGTGTACATCAACAAGGGGACACGCATCAAGACACTTGGCCAAGAGTGGCCCTTTTTGTTCAGGGAAGTTGGTATGGCAGCACACTTCCAAGAACTTACTGGTGTGAGTCTGATGGAGTCCTTCCTTGCCAATGTGGACAAAAAGGGTAGACGCCTCTTAGACTTCCTCAAACGTGTTGCTGCACCAAAAAACAAGCAAGTCCTGGATGCTCTGATCAAGTTTCAGACTGAGAGAGGTCAGTCGGATGGTTGTTCAGAAGACATCATACAGATGGTATGTCTCTTACTGGCTCTTTTTGGTGAGCAAAAGGAGAATCTGTTCCATTTCGTCGAGGACACATGCCTGGCCCAAGAGGTTCAGATGGAGAAGTTGCCGGCAACACCCTGCATCATTGTGTGTGGTAAGTAAACAAACACTGAAAGTGCAACCAAACCCTCTAGAATGAATCTACTAGTGTACTGAAATGCAATTGTACTACTGGCTTACTTAGTTCCAGGTTATGTTGCAGCCCATATAACGATACTGACCATTACTTTAACTGATACCAAGGTCAGCCAATAGCAGAATTCAAGGCAGCAGTATGGTTTTAACCAACTCCGTTATCAGTTGTTTTTTTTTGATGGCCCTTGAATGTAATAAGCACCATTGTATGTTTAGTCAATGGCTGACATTGATGCCTTTGTTATGGAAGTTTATTTGTTTGTTTTGTTTTTTGTATTCTTACATTTTTCAGGGTCCTCCTGCTTTGCTGCTGGGATGTTTATGTTGAGCATCGACCAAGAGGTTGTCAACGACCACATCACTTCCTTCACGTCTGCCTTCTGCCTGATGTTCGGGTGTTACTACTGTTTCAACATTCACTACCCAGTGGAACTACGTTCAACACTTGAGTTCCTCCAAAGGTACAATTTCTTTGTTGTTATAGTATTTAACAATACAAGTTTCTTTTTCAGCCATCAATTGTTTTTTGTGAATTAATATATGTATTTTTCATGAAGGTGTTTCTTCTCAATAAATCCTGAGAGAGGAACCAAAGTCGAGTGGAAGAAAAACAAGAAAGTACTCCCAGTCAATCCCAGAGTCCTCACTCTGATTGCAGACCTTGCAGACCATGAGTGGATATAGACATATCCTACTAACCCTAACCCTTTAGAGTTGGGTGCTTTGGAACAATGTGTTCCAATTTTTTCCAAAATGTGTATGGAATTGCTAGTTCTGAAAGCCAATGTAAACTTTTCCTTGGAAAAGTGTCTGGTATAGTTTGTAAAGCCAGAGTACATGTTCAGCTTTACTGAGTGATGTCAATAGATTTGTGCTGCAAAGAAGTTCAGGCGAACTTGATAGTTCTAGGAATTTGGAACTCTTACTCATCGAGGTAGTCGTTTTTGTGAAAAGCAAATATCCAAAACCTTTGCTTAACAGCAATGAAATAAAGCTTTTCTTTATTTTAAAATGTGAGATGTGACATTTTTTGTGTGGCTGCTAGGTACAATGAGCAATTTTTAAAAACATAAATTTGCGCTCAGAAAAGTTGTTAAGTTTAGAATATATTAGATTCACTTTCATTGTCATTGCAGAGTACAGTACAGGTACAAATCCGATGAAATGCAGTAGCATGTAACCAGAAGTGCAAATATAGATAAATGCAGGAGTGTAGGTAATAATACAATACAATATGTATAGTGAAGGACGGTAGAGAGTTACAATATACAAAAGAGTGTGAATGTAGGGTTGTCTGTAGAGTATGAACAGCATATGTGCATTTGGTAACTTTGCAGAGTATAACATATGTATGGGTTGGTTATTTGTACTATTACAATATTGAACAGTGTAGGTGGTTCAGTCTATCATTTGTTTTAGAATAAATGATTATGAAAATACTCAAGTCAGGCCAGTTATGTTTCCTCTGATGGCATCATTAAAGAACTGAGCTGGTAAGTTAGCTGCATATTTAAAATATATACATCAGATTTGTATTCTGCGTCTAAAGTATTGTTTCCCTTCCAATAGGCCAAGCCAAACGTGTTCAGTGATCCTCAACTGGATTCTTCTTGACATTATTACCTTTCCAGGTAAGAGATACAAGTCTAGAGAGAGTCAATTATTGTTTTTGTTTATATTACAATTTAATCTTTGACTTTCTTTTCTCACTTGTTAGGGCATTGATAGGGCTGCACCATCATTAGGGCTGGTCCCAGTCAAACTACCAAGTTCCACTCAGCGTTCTCCTGCTGCTGGAAGTTCTCCTCCCTGATCCTTCAATGTGGACCTGTTTCTACATTCAGTCAGGACATTTATGGTGAGTGATTCCACACAAACAGGTTTTCTATAATGCACGCTTTCAGTAAATATTGACTTTAGTATAGTGGTATATACTGTGCTCTTTAGAAATGTGTCTACCAGTAGAGATGAACTAATACTGAGTGTTAGGGGGGATGTTACCGTCAGCAAAGTGACATTACTCCAACTGCTAGCAGAGTCTATATCAATACATCATGTAATCATATAACCCATGACAGGACTTACTATAGTGAAAATATAAATTGGTTATTGAGAGTCCCTTAATTTATAAACCATTTTCAAATTGAATTACCAGAAAAATCAGTATACTAAGATGTGCTGTATATTGTTACAGTCCAAAATTATAAAAAATATTGTCATCTAAAGGTTTTGCAATATAATATATCCCACCACTACTTAAAGCGAAATGAGGAATGGCTAAAATGCATGATCTGTTTGGTATTTTGAAAAAAACAAAGTATAAATATGTAGGCCTGTCACGATAAATAATTTTGTTGGACGATACATTTTCCTGGAAATTATTGCGATAAACGATAATATTGTCGGCATCGTTATAAGACCATTTTAGACATAATGATAATATATAATAATAATAATTCAAGTACATCCTTTCAAACATAACTATACTGAACATGCAACATTGCAAATGAAATGTGAAATAATATTAAAATATATAAATGATATATAATAAATAAAACAAATTAATTTAATTATAATAAATTAATTAAATCACACACAACCAAAATAATAAATTAAATAGACTCAGGCTGGAAAACAGAGATCTATCTATCTATATATTTATTTATATATTTATATATATAAATAAATATGAGCACACATTGGCTCACAAGCAAAAAAAACCCTCCTTAAAACAACAGTCAAGTGTACAGTCCACTGTCCAAATCTGTTTTTCAAAGTTTTCGAGCAAGGAACACCAACATGTTTGCATTCTCGAGCAGATGCATCTCTGATTGTAAACTGTCGGGGAGGTGGGGGCTCTCCAGCTGCCGTGTTTGCTCCCAGCTGGGGAAACGGAATGGCGTGGTTGTGTTTTAGGTGTAGTTTAAAATGCGTGGTATTGCCTGCTTTTGTCGCTACCTTATTTAAACAAATGCGACACACCGCCCGGCTCATTCAAGTCCATAGGTTCGCCTCGTTGATTTGGCTTGAATCCAAAATACTGCCACACCGGAGAATTGAGATGTGTAGTTAGGTTTTGTAACCAATTCCATTTCACTTTAAATTCCCCGCGAGTAACACGTTGTCTCCCGCTTGTCGCTATATTATTAATTTGGCTGCTGGGCTCAGGCTGCTGCACGCGGAGTGTCCTGACCTGGCTGTGTGTCAGCCCCGCCCCTCACAGCACGCCTCGCAGCCACAGCGCTCCGAGCTCAAATGCTGGTCACATCCTTATGTAAACGGCAATTTATCGAGCTCAGAAAAGTTATCGAGTCCATTTGTATTTATCGTACGATAAGTCCATTTAGCGATTATCGCGACAGGCCTATAAATATGCCTTATATAGTTATGGTCCTACACTATATTATTCAAATATAGCATGATAGGTCCACTTTAAGTGTAAATGAAACAACTTTTGATCCTGTGATTTTTCTCTCTGCTCTCTCCCTGATGCTGGTGTTTGGTCCTGGGTTCCCGATCCATTCCACCCACCCTGGTGGGACCCTCGATGTCCACATGCTGCTCCCTTGCCTCAACAGCTACAGGAGGGCAACACATTGGAAACCCCTTGACTGCTTGCTGATCTTTTTAATGGACTATCAAAAACTTTGGACTTCTGTCTGACTATGGACACTATGGAGAGGATTGTATGTATTAGAAGTGAAATCATTACATTATACTGTTAATTTCACAATAAAACCATATTTCATGGCAAAACCTTTTTTTGTACTGCTTTTGTAAGGAAATTTATATGGGGAAAAGTAGTATTTTTTTATTACAGACTGTTAATTTTACAGGGAACCACTGTCATTTTTCATGGCACAACCTTTATTGTACGGCATATTACGGTAATTTATATGGGGAAAAGTAGTATTTTTTATTACAGACTGTTAATTGTACAGGGAACCACTGTCATTTTTAATGGCACAACCTTTATTTGTACGGCATATTACGGTAATTTATATGGGGAAAAGTAGTATTTTTTTATTACATACTGTTAATTGTACAGGGAACCACTGTCTAATTGAATGGCAAAAACCTGTATTTATATGGTAAAATATGGAATAAAACTCAAACATTAACCGTAAAGTCAGCAGTACTGATATCCTTTTACCGTAATAGTACATACAGTTCTACCGTATTTTTTACGGTAAAGTTCTGGCAACCACAGCTGCCAGTTTTTTACCGTAAAAATAACGGGTTTTTTTTTACAGTGTGGGGGGGTATATACGAAGGTCGACCTGTGAGGGGTCATGGAGCAGAGACCTCCAACGATCACACATAAATTATCTGGAGCTTTTAGCGGTGTTCCTCACCCTGAAACGCTTTCCACCTTTTCTCAGAGGACATCATGTCCTCGTGAGGACAGACAACACGACCACAATATCGTATATAAACCGCCAAGGGGGTTTGCGTTCTCTCCAGTTACACATGCTGGCACGTAAACTGATCTTATGGAGCTGCGGACGTCTCCTCTCTCTGAGAGCGACGCACGTACCAGGAGTGATGAACCTCGGGGCAGATCTGCTGTCCAGAGGTGCACCACTATATGCAGACTGGACTCTACATCAAATAATTGTGAGTCAGCTGTGGGTGCGTTACGGCCGGGCCGCGGTGGATCTGTTCGCATCAAAAGAAAATGCTCAATGTCAGCTGTTCTTTTCAATGCGCAATTTAAACGCACAGTTATGCGTGGACGCGCTCACGCACGTTTGGCCTCCGGTCCTTCTGTACGCGTTCCCACCCCTGGCTCTGATACCCCCAACTCTGGCCAGAGTGAGAGAACAACGCCACACACTGATCCTAATAGCTCCACACTGGCCTGCAATGTACTGGCTGGCGGAGATATATCAGCTGCTGTGCGGGCAGCCGTGGCAGCTCCCGCTACGCAGGGACATACTGTCTCAGGCGGGGGGGACGATTTTTCACCCACACCCAGAGCGCTTGGCACTATGGGCCTGGCCCGTGAGTGGTATAACCTGAATACAGTGGGACTCCCTCAGAAGGTGATAAACACTATTCAGAGTGCAAGAGCTTCCTCCACCAGGTCCCTCTATGACTGTAAGTGGAGGGTGTTTGAGGAGTGGTGCCTTCAAAAAGGACACATCTCTTTTCAATGTCCTGTCGGGGTGATTCTATCATTTCTACAGGACCTGATTGATAAACACAGAGCTTTCTCTACGATCAAAGTGTACCTGGCTGCTATTGCTGCATGCCATGTGGGCTTTGAGGGAAAGACGGCTAGCCAACATCCCTTGGTCTGCCGTTTTATGAAAGGGGCTCGCAGGCTCCTCCCTGTTTCCAGGTCACTGGTGCCCTTATGGGACTTGGCAGTGGTTTTAGATGGGCTCACTCGACCTCCATTTGAACCCCTGGAAGAAGCTGACATGAAACACCTGTCACTGAAGACAGTGTTGTTACTGGCTCTGGCATCTGACAAGAAAGTCAGTGACATTCATGTGCTCTCTGTACATCCTTCATGCACTCAGTTTGCCCCGGGGCAAATGAGAGTGTTGCTGAAGCCCAACCCTGCCTTTGTACCTAAGGTGGTTGGCTCATGTACCCCCATTGACATTGAGGCATTTCCTCCGCCACTGTGTTCCTCTGAGGAACAGCGGCCGAATTTGCTGTGCCCAGTCCGTGCTTTACGCACCTATATGGACAAGTCAAAAGAGTTACGATGCAATGACCAACTCTTTGTATCCTGGGCTAACCCTCATAAGGGCAAGCCTGTTACCAGGCAACGGCTCTCCCACTGGATTGTGGAAGCGATTGCTCTGGCTTATACGAGTCAGGGTTTGCAGGCACCAACGGGCCTGCATGCTCATTCTACTCGTGGACTGGCTACATCCTGGGCTTTGTTCAAGGGTGTTTCCATCCAAGACATTTGTGCAGCAGCGAGCTGGTCCTCACCGCTCACTTTTGTCCGCTTTTACAGGCTAGATGTCTCTGCTCCAAGTGTGGCCCGCGCAGTGCTGGGCCCCGTGTTGAGACAGGTTTCTACCTGTTAAGTTCTGGTTGTTTTGGTGATTTTCGAGATAAGCATGTCTAGCAATACGGGAGTTTCAATATCCCATAGTGAGACATTGAACGGAGTGTTATGAATGAGAACTATAGGTTACTTACGTAACCCCAGTTCTCAGAGTAACATGAAGTGAGATGTCTCACCAGACGGCCCTTCTTGCTAAGGCGAAGCGAGAAGAGGTGCTTATTTTGAATGACGCTGCGACGTAGCGCAAGCTACTTAAAGGGTGGGTGCATTCCCTGACGTAAACGTCAAGATCACCAGCCAATCAGGATTGGCGTAATTAGATTGATGCTTCTGTTTGCATACGCGTTGAGGCGCATCCCATAGTGAGACATCTCACTTCATGTTACTCTGAGAACTGGGGTTACGTAAGTAACCTATAGTTCTGTCAATACACCTGTGAAGAGTAGCATATGATAGTATTCAATTAATTGGTATTAACTATTTCAGTGCCTCTTTTCTGATGTTATGGTCCAAGGGGAAAGAAAAGTCTAGGTATATATAGTGTGTGTGTGTGTGTGTGCTTGTGTTGTTCAGTTGAAATGTTCATAACAAACCTTCATCTTGTCGCTCCTGGAGTGGAGTGCACCAGCTGGGCGTAACTCTACGTCCGATGTAGAACCGAAGGTTAAGACCAAACTAAAGTTATGACTAGTGCACCACTTAGACTTAAGCCCTGTATGCGTTGCGCCCGGGTGTAACTTTTACGCCTAGTATGGAGCAGGCGTAAATCGTAAAGACAGACTAGTATCCATAGTAACGTAAAACAGGCAAGAAGGAAAATAACTATGGCAGTGCGTCTTGTTGACGACTTAACCGCAATCACATAATAAACAACATATAGCCCTGTATATTTGTAATATGAACGCTGTTTTTTTGCAATTGCATTTCAATAAGCTCCCATTGTGATCACATATTTTCATTAGGCCGTTTTATAGCCTATTATTTTATTCAAAAAACACACACAAGAACATTAGATAACAACATTTGGAGAACTGTTAACATGAAATTGAGATAACAACAAATATGATTAGAGAATGGTGAATGACAAATTGTCTTCTTCAGTGATTCTTTGCTGATTCTTAAGAATTATAATTTTGAGTCTTAATTTCTCCTTCTCCAGCTCAATTTTGTCAAGTTCCGCTCTCAGTTGTGCGGTCTCCACCTCCACATGAACAATCTCTTTCTCCACCAGTTCACGCTGTAGCTCTGTAAAATCCCTCTTTCTTTTTCGGGGTGTGGGCGTCATTTTTCTCTTCTTTTGGTTTCCGTTATCCATGACTTCGTTATTCAAGTCTTAGCTTTTTATTATGTAGACGTGTGTTGCTTGGCAACAATTACTGTTTCGCGTGTATTCACGTGGACGCGCACTTAAGACCAGGCGCAGCTACGACCGAGACTAGTCAGGCTTGGTGCACTCGGTGTAAATTCAAATCACTAAGTCGGACGTAGCTAAGCCCGACGTTAAAGTTAAGACCTACTTTTTTACGCCCAGCTGGTGCACTCCACTCCTGGAGTGCATAAGCTGGGCGTAACTCTACGTCCGACGTAGAACCGAAGGTTAAGACCAAACTAAAGTTATGACTAGTGCACCACTTAGACTTAAGCCCTGTATGCGTTGCGCCCGGGTGTAACTTTTACGCCTAGTACGGAGCAGGCGTAAATCGGAAAGAGAGACTAGTATCCATAGTAACGTAAAACAGGCAAGAAGGATATTAACGATGGCAGGGCGTCTTGTTTACATGTTTAACAATGAAAGGGCATTAAGAAGAGAAAGAGTAGTCCGTGATCGAACAAACCCACTAGACATCTATTCAGACAGTGAACTGATAGAGAGGTTTCGGCAGACAAGCCCTTTTTGATTTAATCGAGGAGATCTCCCCTCAACTCCAGCACGGATCAGATCGAAACGCTGCGCTCTCCCCAACCTTGCAGGTGCTGATTGCGCTCAGATTCAGAATTGTTTTGTGTTCCGCTCTCAATTTTACGGTCTCCACCTCCACACGAACTATTTCTTTCTCCGTCAGTTCCCGCTGTAGCTCTGACAAATCCCTCTTTCTCTTTCGGGGTGTGGCCATTTGGGATTCCCCTTGAGTCATCGCTGACGCTGTGGGTGTGGGAATTCCCTCTTCTCTGCGGTCCTCTGAGTCTGTAAAATGGCGTTGCTTGGCAACAATTACTGTTTTGCGTGTATTCACGTGGACGCGCATCTTAAGACCAGGCGCAGCTACGCCCGAGACTATCAGGCTTGGTGCACTCGGTGTAAATTCGAATCACTACGTCGGACGTAGCTAAGCCCGACGTTAGAGTTAAGCCCTACTTTTTTACGCCCAGCTGGTGCACTCCACTCCTGATGCGTACTGCTTGGTTCATGAGTGCCTACAGATACAAAGAGATGCATCAATTATGTGTGTCTCACATGGTATTAGTGATGGACATGGATAATATAGAACTACTTTGTTATTTTGATTTAAAGTTTCAATTATTTTTATATAATTACACCATTATTAATGTAAGTTTTGTTTATTACTTACTTCTAAACGACTGACATGATTGCCTTTCAAGTCTGAGTGGTTGGAGGAAATCCAAAGAGATGGTTTCTATAAAACATTAAGGGATCAACATAAATTAAAAAATAAACAGTGTATATCCTTTATTTTGTAATCAAAACATGAAATGTCTCATTACACCAGTTATTGTTAAAATATTGACTTTACCTGCTGATGTCAGTTTCATCAGCTCTGCTCTCATCTCTGGGTTTATCGGTAGAAAAGAGTGTGACAAACAGCTGTAATGTTTCATCACTGCTGCCTGGTGTTTACAAGGTGCTCCTGTTTGTCCTGCAGGGCAAGAACACAGCTCCAAATCCATGTCTACATCATAAGTTTGTGTAGATCCCTTCACCACAAACTTCTTGTCCTCAATCTGCAAAATCACAAGTCAAACAAGGATAAATGTATTTGTTACACAAGTGACATATGTGCGTATTAATTCTGTAGTGATAAACCTATAGCATGTTGTGTTTTTTCAGCTGTTATATCCATTACCTGCTGAATATGTGATGCTGCAATGTTGCCATCTTGGGGGAGGAATTTTGCTCGCTGGAATGATTCCCAGCGTCCAAGGGCAACATCAACGATGCGTGCCTCATAATAGGTCTCCAGCCTCGAGGTCAGCAGATCAAACAGCTGAGGAAGGTTGAAGGCCTTTGTCCTCTGCAGTATTTTGTCCTTGAGGACACGCATTGCCACTTCTGCAAAATTGTTGGTATTGTTTCCTCTGGTGAGGAAACTGCCTCTATAACTGAGGGCCCAACACTCTCTTCTGGCGTACAGCTGGTCCAAGTACCTGAGGAACTTTTCATACCTGCAATTGGTTAAAACAAGAAAAAATTATCCAAACAGTAAAGCTTAATCACTTCATTACATTGTGTGTTGGATGTTATTTGATAATAATAAGTCAATTTCTCTCATGGCTAAACAAAACATCACTAACGTGTCTGCATTAAACACTAACCTAGCTGCAACTGGATGCCCTCTTGCCTCGCTGTAAAGCCTATCCACACTGCCTATCTCCTGACAGTAAAGCATCTATTTTACAATGGCAAAAAGTGCCGGTCCGTCTCCGTGAGTGACCCCACTCTCCTAGCTCCACAGCCACCTCCACACTGCTTGTAGCAGATGGAAGGAGCACAGGAGAAGTGTGGCCTTAGGAAATGCTTTTCCCAGAGCTCCCCTCTCTGCCCTAGTCATCTGTGATGACCAGTCGTGGCTCTTCGTGTCCCCTGCCAGCAAAGCCCTTCTCTCCAACAACTTGTTTAGTGGGAATGCTGTTAACAGCATTCCAACTATATGTTATCATGCTACGCATGAAAAGTTTATTATTATTCCGCCGGTATTTTGTCGGGCTTCTCCTCCCACATTCCACATCGCAGAAACTCCGTTCAAACATCAAAACGTTCAGCTCGGTCGGGAATCGATGGCTATTACTTTTCTCATTCATAACTTTCATAATTCCAGAGATACATCCCATAATACATCACATTTTTAACATTGAAGTCAATGGAGAAAATCTTCAGACTTCAACAAATCTTCATGCGACTTCAACTGCTAACTGTTTATTCATACTTTCACTCAGAAACGTCATTCCAACTTTAAAATGTTACACATCTTTCTGACATTATTCGTATAAAACAACTTTTAAATCTGATTCTTACTTTTAGAGATATTAAACATTGTTCAGACCTTGTTAAAGACGTTTTCTTCAGATTTTAACATTAACTAGAGTGCGTGATAGAGGGTAGAAAATCTTGAGATTTGCCTTCATATATTTTTTAAAAACTGCCATAATTCCCAAACCCTACATTCCTGAGACATAATTGTTCATGACAAACGTAGGAAAACATCTCGTAGCTTGAAAAATGACAAATAATTAAGCAAAAATAATTCAACAAAATGCCTCTTGAGGACATGAAGTGACAAAAACATCCAACATTCCTCCATTAAAGCCCAATTTCATATTTCCTCACGGTAGCAGCCGCACACCTTTAGTTAAACTGCCAAAAAGGCCACATTATGAACCTGAAAGTACACAAAAATTACACTTCAGATACTCAACTTCCTTGACATGCTTCACGTTTTGAAATTTCACAGATATCTGTTACGATTCTTCCACAAAACGTTCACATGTAAGAGGTTTATCTCTCATTCAGAACAATGGAAACCTGTGATCTCTGCACACCTCGTTAGCTCAAATATAAACACCTGTGTCATGGAACACGATGATGTCGTCACTCCAACTGACATGCTCAGAGCAGCAGATTTCAACAGTCCAGCCGTGAAGACATCTTCAGGAGTTTTGAGATTTCTTCAAATGCCGTTGCCATGGCAACACAATGAAAGCCCGCCGGCCCTTCCCTTCCGACCAATCAAATAATCGGAAGGGAAGGCCTGACCAGAGCCCGAGAGATACTAACGGTGTGTCCACACAGCAGCTTTGACCAAATCTTGAAAATCCTGGAGCTGGGCGTGTCTGACAGCTTGGGGATTTCGCGACCAACAACCAATCACATGAATATCCCGCCCCCGACATACAAAGCAAAAAAACCCGGTTCTTCTACACTATTGTCAAATAGGAAGGGCTATGATGAACATTTATTTTTTTAACATTTTGAACATTTATGAGATTAATGTTTATGGTGCTATTTTATGCTACATTCCATGCTGGCTAATGATACTGTCTATGCTGGCTAGCAACGAAGTAAACTAGCAACGAAGTAAACTGGATATAAAATCCCCAAACAAGCGAAAACCTACCAGTTTCACCCACTGCCTCTGCCACCTCCCTCCATGCCTGGTTCCTCCGGTTTGTATCCCGGTAAGTAAATAGGGACTGGTCATAAAGAACCGGGTGATTTGCTACCGCAATAACTAAGTTCTCCTCCATTTTTGTGGAATATAGAAATGAACTGCGGGTCTGGTTCTCCCAGCTTGCACGCGGTTTGATTGGCTAGCGCTTGAACTGTCAGATTTGCATAAACGGATCTGATTGGCTGTCGCTTCCAGCTCAGCCTCAAAAGTTGAACATTGTTCAACTTTGGAATCCTGAACATCCTGGAAATCTTCGCCTCGCCCCCCCACAATGCAGTTCGGCGACAAGCGAGGGAAAGTGACGTCATCCCCATTCAAAGTCAATGGGCGGAGACGCGCTGGAAGCGGTGGACAAATCGCCAAAAGCTGCTGTGTGTACGGGCCGTAACGGTGTGTCCACACAGCAGCTTTGACCAAATCTTGAAAATCCTGGAGCTGGGCGTGTCTGACAGCTTGGGGATTTCGCGACCAACAACCAATCACATGAATATCACATGAATATCCCGCCCCCGACATACAAAGCAAAAAAACCCGGTTCTTCTACACTATTGTCAAATAGGAAGGGCTATGATGAACATTTATTTTTTTAACATTTTGAACATTTATGAGATTAATGTTTATGGTGCTATTTTATGCTACATTCCATGCTGGCTAATGATACTGTATATGCTTGCTAGCAACGAAGTAAACTAGCAACGAAGTAAACTGGATATAAAATCCCCAAACAAGCGAAAACCTACCAGTTTCACCCACTGCCTCTGCCACCTCCCTCCATGCCTGGTTCCTCCGGTTTGTATCCCGGTAAGTTAATAGGGACTGGTCATAAAGAACCGGGTGATTTGCTACCGCAATAACTAAGTTCTCCTCCATTTTTGTGGAATATAGAAATGAACTGCGGGTCTGGTTCTCCCAGCTTGCACGCGGTTTGATTGGCTAGCGCTTGAACTGTCAGATTTGCATAAACGGATCTGATTGGCTGTCGCTTCCAGCTCAGCCTCAAAAGTTGAACATTGTTCAACTTTGGAATCCTGAACATCCTGGAAATCCTGGAAATCTTCGCCTCGCCCCCCCACAATGCAATTCGGCGACAAGCGAGGGAAAGTGACGTCATCCCCATTCAAAGTCAATGGGCGGAGACGCGCTGGAAGCGGTGGACAAATCGCCAAAAGCTGCTGTGTGGACGGGCCGTAAGAGTTACGACACTCCCATAGACCTCCGTTGTAAAAAATGGCGGCGCCTACTTCCGGGGTATGGACATCGAAATAGTTCCAAATATTGTCATTTGGGCGTTGGACCTCATTCACTTACATTACGGCGCGTCGATTAGTTCCAGAGGTAAGTTGCTGAAATATCGAACTCTTTTGAATTGTCAACTGTCTATATTGTAAAGTAAAGTAAAAAAAAGTAAAAAAGTAAAGTAAAAAATAAATAAAAATTAACTCGTCTTGACGATGATGATGCGTCATCAGCTCGCGCATCACAGAAGGTAAACAACACCGTAGAGCAGGGGTGCCCAACCAGTTGATCGCGATCGACTGGTCGATCGCGAAGGGGTTCCCAGTCGATCGCGAGTTGTGTCTAAAAATAGACCAACAATATGCTGTTTTACCGTTAAAAAAAATCTTCCTGTGCCAGAATAGAGAGGCGAAGTCCCTCCCCTTCCGAAAGCCTCTATGGGACCCCGGAAGCGGAAAATTATACATTGAAGTCAATGGAGAGAGAAAGGTTATCTTTTGATCCCGTTTGAATTGTGCCACGAATGACACATATGATGTTTGTCAATTTAAAAGAACATTTTGCAAGTCAAAAAAATAAAAATGTGTCGTAAAACTGTGAAGTTACACATTTTTTCGTGTGAAACCGCTCAGTGAACTACAGGTCTCTGGTCTCGCACAATACGCGTCACCAACATAAAGATGGCCCTCACGTTAGCACATTTCACCACATTCTTTCAGAATGAGAATAAAAGTATTTTACGAGGTGAAAATTACTACAAGTCTGGGCATGTTGAGAGCTGTACCTATATGAAAGGGGAGTTAGTCGGTTCTGTAAGAGCCAGCATGCGGGACCGGCTTTACAAGGTTTCGGTGAGTAATATGAGTGCAATGTGTAACGTTAATGTCAGCTAGCTAACATTAGCTAACAAGGTACACTAACGTGTTTTGTTTTAGCAACTAGTTTTCTCCTTAAGAACTTCGTGGTCTCTGTGTATGCTGTGGATAACATTAGTGTTCACAAGAACAAGGTACACTCCCGTGTTTTGTTTTAGTTGCTCTTCAGATTGAAGCGGCCAATTTTATATCGACTATACTGTATGCGTGATCTCCTTTTTCTCGTTGTTTCATTTGAGTTTATTTGCTGTGTGTAGATTCAAGGATTTTGGTTATCTAGGCACAGCTGTGTGTGACTCCCTCTGGTACACCGGTATGTGTTTTCCTAATGTAGAGAGCATTGATTAATTAATAAACTACACACTGAGTCTAGATCCTGACCAAATCCTTTTTTATTGTTGATCAAATGTTTTTCAAAATGTATTCATACACAGTTAGAAAAATACAATGTACAATCACAACCAATACAACACAAATTACAAAAAAATACAGAAAAAACAAACAATAACAACAGACAAGAGGACAAAACTATGGAAAAATAAACCCTCCCACCCCCAGATCCGGACCATCCTTGTATTATTGCTCATTCAATCTATTATAGCATGTTAACAAATGGTATTTACTTTATTTTTACAGATCTGCATGGGAGACGATGGCGCGATGCAGAGCGCTGTCTGTGATTGTGCACAGGAGATGTACAAATGCAGCCACGCTGCAGCATTGGCAATATTTGCCATGTGGCAGATCAGCTCCACAGATGTTGAGTGCCAGTGGAGGAAGCCTGGCACTTAAAAAGTAGTCCAGCCGGTGTCTCAACTTTACCAACAGCGAGAGGAGACATACAACCCACTGGCCAGAGACATCGCCAACTGTCAACTGGGGGGTT